CTATTCACGAACAGCTTGTAACACTCCAAAGAGAAAGGAAAACTTGAAATCGCATCATATGACCCCTTTAAAATTAATAAAATGTTCAAATATATAAATAATAATCATAATAATTTAATATATTTTTAAATAGTAATAGTTTTTATTAATAAAGTGCTAATTCTTTAAATATGAAAACTTACTTCTGTGAGTCAGAACAGCCGGCATTGTGGTCTACTCTCCCAGGTTCAGGAAACTGTTCTCCATAAAATGCGCTGCACACATCCGAATATTTTAGTTGAACTGTTCTGGAACAGTGTTGTAAATACAACTTAACCACTGATTTCTAGTCGTGTCCTCTTTTGGAAGGCCAAACAAAGTAGTTTCGCTTTCACAATGAAACACACAGCGTCTTCACAACATGGCGGCGGCGGTGGCAGCAACAATAAAGTTACGCCTTCTTTCTTTGCGTGAACATTTGGGCGGCGTTATGCAAATCTTCCCACACAGTGATGTAGACATGTGGGGGCGTGTTTAAATGACGCGTTTTAGGAGGCCGTGGACAAGTCTTAACTTTTATAAAGAATATCTCTTTGGGTTTGAGACTTTAGTCTTTGCAATTTTAGGGATCTTATCTATTCACGAACAGCTTGTAACACTCCAAAGAGAAAGGAAAACTTGAAATCGCATCATTTAAAATTAATAAAATGTTCAAATATATAAATAATAATCATAATAATTTAATATATTTTTAAATAGTAATAGTTTTTATTAATAAAGTATAATAATAATAATAATAATAATAATAATAATTTAAAGTAATCATATTCCACAACATTACTGTTTTTAGTGTATTTTTGATCAGAGGATGAAATGAATTGTGTAGCTCTTTGCCACTGCAAACTGGCAAAATGCCATCAGTGGTGACACAGAATGGTACAGCCTATATTGTTCATGTCAAGTGTCTGGAAGTGAAAAGGAAATCAGGAGAAGTAAAATATGAAGAATTTTGGCCCGGGGAAAGGCGACAAATGATAGGAGCAAATGATTTCACGTACACCTTGACTCTCCTCCTCTCTGTACCCTCCTCCCTTTCCTCTCCATCCCACAGGAACCCTGGTCTGCGTAGATAAGGACAGCCTGCTGCTAATTTTACGCAGGAAAGGCAGGAAATGTGAAGTGAAGACTTTGCTTTTCCACAAACAACAGAGTAGCCGGCCTTGGAGAGGATCCTGTGTGCCACAGTGCTGAACAGTCTGGGACTGAAAAAGAGACACAAACAGAGAGAAAGTGAGAGAGGAGGGTCCCTGGAATTGAGGAGTTGGATAGACACAGAGAGAGACACAAGAAAAAGTTCAAAGGAAGAGTGAAAGAACAAAAGATTTGGAGGGGAGAGACTGTGTCCTCTCTCGTCTCCCCTGTATCTCTGGAGGGAGCTATGGCGGATAACAGCACTCATCCTATTGTGAAGATACTGGAGTCCTTCGGATTGAGTAAGATATTTTACCATATTTACACACTTTATAAAGAGTTCGCTCTTGCATACACACAAATTAACTCAGTATTACAAAGTCAACTTTGTACTTCTAAAAAAATCTGGAGAGTGTAGAAAATGCTGTGTCGAGTCTTTTAAGAAACAGAAATGCAGACTGTAGTAACTAGCGGCAAAAGATATTGGCAAAAGTGGTCCATAAAAAAACAACACCGCCAGTGTGCAACTTTTTCCATTCGGTCTTTCCAAATGTCATTTCCAGATGATCCTTCACTCTGGACTGTGATTTCTTTCACCTAGGGAGAAAATTGCATATAAACACCCACATTATTTTACACACAAGTCTCTAAAGAGTTTGTGATGTCATATTCTAATAATACTACTAATAATCTGTAGAATAGTTAGGTGCTGAGGTTAAAAATGGCTACGATTTGCCTGCTTCAATCACATACATTACTAAAACAACTCTGGCGCCTATCTATGAATAATTATACTCTTTTTAAAACGAATTTTAATTGAGGAATTAAAATTTAAAGCCAAAATTCTCACTCAAAGTATTGTCATTTTCAAAGGACCTTAAATGGCCTGTGCCAGACAGAAGCCCTGTGTGCTAATGAAACTGGTATTTCTGTAGACAATGAAATGCCATAACAGGAAGCTTCCTAAAATGCAAACTATTTAATTCACCTTAACTGTAAAGGATAAGAAAACATTAGGTGCGCCTTCTATTGTGGAATTTGTCCCCGCCCACTTTGAGTTGTCAGGATAGGCGCTCCAGACTGACCTTCAATCTCCTGATAGTTTCTCCTTAATGACCCTACAACAGAGACAAGTATTTCTGTCATTGCAGTAGAACGCTGTCAACACTTCATTAGCCATTTGAAATATATAAAAACCTTGTTCCAGGATTACAGGGAACCAATCGTTTAACAGCACGTTCCATAAAAAAGATGTCGACATGTTAAAGTCATTTATGTCAGTAATTTTCTGTGAAGTTCGTCTGCCTCTATGCAAACTGTATTTTGGCGCCCCTAGCGCAGTTTGCTAAACAGCTTCAAGCATCTTAAAAATTAAATGTTTACGTGATACCGTCCAAAACTGATCTTGATGACGCTCCTGCTGCTATGGTTACCTCCTAAAGTGAACGTTCGCCAACGCACGCAATTAAAACTTTTTTTAACTAAAACAGTTAACTTTTTTTTTTTTTAGCTTTTAAGTCACTTTGATCGCTACATTTTTAGAACGCCGTGTCGCCCTCTATGCAAACTGTATTTTGGCGCCCCTAGCGCAGTTTGCTAAACAGCTTCAAGCATCTTAAAAATTAAATGTTTACGTGATACCGTCCAAAACTGATCTTGATGACGCTCCTGCTGCTATGGTTACCTCCTAAAGTGAACGTTCGCCAACGCACGCAATTAAAACTTTTTTTAACTAAAACAGTTAACTTTTTTTTTTTTAGCTTTTAAGTCACTTTGATCGCTACATTTTTAGAACGCCGTGTCGCTTCAAACATGGGAGACACGATTGCCACGATCAAACACGTCCGTCTAACTCATGTTTACGTAGAAAAACAATGTAAAACACTACTAAAACATACAAAATAATTTTAAAATCATTTAATGTTTCCCCTTAAACAGGCTACACTGTAAAAATGTAGTAATGACAAGCGCATTTAAATAATAAATTACAGTTTCCTGTGTATATGGAACCAAGTTCACTCTCAAAATTGCAATGACTGACACCATGGTAACCATAGCAAAATTTTGCTTTGGTATCCACTATTTTTGACCAAAGTAATATTACAGCGACGAATACCAGACTTATTATGTTCGCCAATTTTAACAAAACCACCATCGACAGTCTTTATGTCTTGTTTATGTTTGGAAGGTTGCTTCAGAGCTTGCTCTTGAAATGTTGCCAAGTCCACTTATTATAAGCACCTCTGTGGCCACAGAGTGCTCGCTTAAAAATATGTTTTTACCACTTTTATTTCTTTCCTTTCTCCAGGGGATGTGATTCTGGCCTTCTGTCTTTCTATGGTTGTTGGTCTTCTGCTGGGAGCTCTGGTCTATATGATCTTGACCTGGATGTCTCGTCGACGAGCTTCAGCCAACATCACTCGCGTACCCATCCACCAGTCCCGCTCCACCACCCGTTCATCCTCGCCACGCTCTCGACCAGGCTACAGTCGACACAGCAGCGGCTACGACCGACGCAGCAACAACAGTCTGGCCAGCACTGCCTTCTCCTTCCATCGGCAAACCTCATCCTCACAGATAGACTATGGTGACTCACCGGGCCGCAAGTCGAGCTTCCGGGCCTCTACTTTTCATCCTCTTCTTCAGTGTAGCCAGATAGCTCGTGAGGCAGAAGAGGGTTCCCAGGGAAGCCTGCCACGGACCCCCACTCTCACTACCAGCCCTGGGGTGGCTGGCTCCACCAGCACTGTCAGTTCCATGGTCACTCCACCCCGGGCCAGAACCAGGCCGGATTCCTTCTGGGGCAACAGCAATCTAAGGGGCTTTCATGCAGGCCAGATTCCACCACCTGCCTATGAGAGCATCATACGAGCCTATCAGGAGACAACCACGTGAAGGAAGAGGAGATGCTACAGTGATGGAGGAAGATAAATGTATTAATAGACTTGGACTAAAAAATTGGACAGCTGAAAGCAATATGGATGTCCTACATCTTAAAACATGGCCAGTTTTTCAATGTGTGTATATTTGCATATTTCTGTTCATTTGTTTATATTCTATTAAAAAATAAAGGTTCTTTATTGGCATATGGTTCCATGAGGAACCGTCCAGGGAACCTTCCATTGAACGAAAGGTTATGTTCTTCTCACAAAGAAAAGGTTCTTTTAAGATAAGAACTGTTCCATGAAAGGTTCTTTGGGGAACCAAGTATAACCAAAATAGTTCTTTTATAGCATCATTGTGAAAACCTCTTTTTGGAATCTATTTTGTGCGAGGTCAATCTGAAATACTTACAGAGAATGTTTGAAAGAGAGAGTGAGATGACTTTGGTTTCTACAGGTCTGCTTTATTGATTAGTAAAGACAAAAGACCTTTATTTTTGCAGGGAGAGAATATGTCTGTAAAGAGTGAGAGAGAAAAATGAGAAAACATGATAAACAGAGAGAAAGTAAGAGATACTGAAGGTTGTAATAAGCATGGGGACAAATATTTTTGCAGGGAGAGAATATGTCTGTAAAGAGTGAGAGAGAAAAATGAGAAAACATGATAAACAGAGAAAGAAAGTAAGAGATACTGAAGGTTGTAATAAGCATGGGGACAAATCTGAGAGCATTACTGATCTCTATTGCAAAAAGTTATTGCAAACACTAATTTAAAATCGTTTAGCACCAAACTCAATCGATTGTGTATTTATTGGTTTGTTTTCTGTGAACTCTAGTCTTTTGGAATCATTGTAAGTATTTCTCAACACAATTGTACTCAAAAAATAAACTGACACAATGCATTTTGCAACAGCTTTTTGCATCTGCATGTTTTAATTCCTGCATCTTCATAGAAAGCTTTAAACACTTACCATAAAATGGATATAGTTCACCCAAAATTTAAATTCTGTCTTTATTTAACCACCTTTATGTCACCATCACTTTATTTCTGCTGACTTCATATAATATCTTCTTTTGTGTTCCACAGAAGAAAGTCAGTCACACACAGGTTTGAAACATAACTAATGACAGTATTTTCATTTTTGCGTGAACAATCCTTTTTAATTTTTCCATTTTGGAGAGCTACACATGTCCATGGTCTATCATTGAAAACGGGTACTGAGGAATGAACAGACCAAGGACAGAGGTGTTACAGAGGGTTTAGAGCACACACATCCTGGAAGTGACCTGGCATCCTTCACACCCATGAATAAGTGGTGAATTTCCCTGACAAGAGGAAGGAATTGTCTCAACAGGTTAAAATGTATGCTAACTGTGCCATCTGCACTTTTGACAGATAGGTTTCCTCTAGGTCTTAGTGTTTATCCTGTCAAGATTCCAGCAAAGCATTTTGGACGGAAGCTGCCATGTCTAAGTTAATTTGCACCATTTACATTTAGTCATTTAGCAGATGCTTTTATCCAAAGCGACTAACAAATGAGCACCAGTATATCAAAAATATATCATGAAAATTATAGAAATGTGTTTACGTCCTTCTACTGTTCTGAAATATTATCGTTAAATTTATATAGCGGTTTGGAGAGGATAGAATGATTTAATTTCCTGCTAAACAAGGTAGGGGTGATTACACTTAACAATGTCTGTGCGCATTAATTACGGTAGGACATTTTTGAGGCGTGACACTGATATTTGCGTTACTTACGGTAATGACGCTCTACGTTAATGTGCGTTCAATCTGAAAACAGTTCCTGTTTACATTTGCTGTCAAAAGTGATTTATCATACCGCGTTCATTGGAAGGACCTAATGTTTTTATAGGTAAAGTGCACATTTAACGTACAGTTTCAGTCGTTAAATATCAATCTTGGGCGCAGAGAATGCATTTCGCTAGAATAAGTTACTACCCAACTAACTCGCTTTTTACATACAGGCCGACTGCTTATTACACCATATCAAATGAGGAATTAACATCAAATTAAGATATTTTAGAGTAGTATAAATATCAGCTGTCTCTATAGGTAAAGAAGTGCGTTGACTGTTTCAAAAACAGCTGACTCTGCTGGCATGTCATGATTCTACCACCTCTTTTCTTCATTTTTTAGTACTTAGGTTATTATAATCGCCGTGAGAAGATTACTTTAAATCGCCAGCAGTCATAAACAGTGGGCAGACATGTCTCACAGGCCCTCTGGCCAACATTAATGTGTGCCATCGTCGGATTTCTGCTCGTGAAGCCGCCAATGTCTGCGTCCGCCCTGCGAGTGATCCGCTTCCGGAGGCTGAGCAGCACCGGACCTGCTGTGAAGAGAGCACTGCCATGGAGAGACCTTAGTAAGACTCATGTCTACCTACACAGCATTTATGGTGTTCATGATGCCCAAAAATGCTGTCTAGGAAGGCAGTTCACTTGCTTTTGAAACCGCTTTAAGTTTAACTTTAATTTTAGGGCCTACAATTCTTTACAATTGTTTGTAATTTTGGGACGTATAAATACATTTAAAAACCCTTATTGTAACTTTATAAAGATAAACATAAAATGTAAATAATATAGATTAAAATAAAATAGATTTTGTAGTTATTAATAAACTTACGGTTCAAAAGGGGCTATAAGATTTTTTTTTAAAGAAAATTATACTTTTATTTAGCAAGGATGCGTTAAAGTGACAGTAAAAACAGGAATAAATTACATTGAACTATATTCTAATAGAAAGCAGTTATTTTAAATTCACAATATTATTGTTTTTACTCTATGATCTTTTGATCAAATAAATGCAGCACTGTTTTAAAAAATTTAAAAAAATGTGTATTTTTTGTCCTACTACTTTCCTATGTGTCCTTATACAGTTCATAAATTGACAGATTTATTCTGAATGCTTAACTGAATCATTCTGAATGCTGTTCTTCATCTCTTTTTTGTCTTTAGGAAAAATAGCAAAAGTGACAGGAGCAATAGTATTGGGGTAGGTTTATTATTATTTTTATTATTTTATTTGTATTTTTTGGCATTTATTTAACAAGCCATCAATAAAATTATATTATACAGTATCATGCAGCACATACACAGAGAATGTCAGTGGAAGCAGCCGTTAAAAGTGATGTATCTTCTAAGCCAGGTTTGTTACCCTTTCCAGAAACACATTCTGACTCTATCAAGTTTGCTTACACAGAGGCTGTGTTTTCATCACATACGAGGTGGTTACTCTGAACCAGGCCGTCACTATCGACACCAGTGCCATACTACAGGAGAAGCACAAGTCCTACATCTACCTGACTCACACCACTAATAGAGAACAGGAGAGCCTTGCTTCTGGTACATTCTGGAATCTTTACCATGTGTGTGTGTGTGTGTGTGTGTGTGTGTGTGTGTGTGCTTGAGAGAGTGTGCAAATATCGGTGAGCCAAAAGATTCATTTGCATTTACATTTACATTTATTCTTCGAAAGCAACTTGCAACTGAGGAATACTACCCCATAAACGATTCATCCTTTCTTTTTCTTTCTTTTCTTTTTTTTTTTTTGCAGGACCTTTGTATTTATGCCTTAGATTATATTTTATTTTTTGCTAGTATATTGTAGATGTATTGTTTGAGATTTTGCTTAATTATACATTAAAACAGCCCATTCATGTATTTTTCATGTATTTTGATTCATGTATACAGTTAATGTATACAAATTTATTGATTGCCCACAACAGACTTTATTTCTTTTCTAGGCTTTACTATCAAGACCAGGAAGGAACTTCATAAAGCAGCTAGAAAGTTTCTTGAAATTTCATCAAGAGTTCTTCTTCTCCCATTGGATGGTGAGTAGTTTCATCTCTATTTGATGGCCTTGACAAGTCTAAACAGCATGGTTATATAGAGGACATGCTTAGAAAAAACACTTAGGGACAGTATGGTTATTGCATCTCAGGAAACATCTGCTTTCTGTTGAAAGTTAACTTGACAGTATTTTTGACCTAGATGTCACCTGTATCTGCACAAAGAGGAACTGACATGGAATGTTGTTCTGTCTTAAATAGGCCAGGTATATTACTGTCTGTTCTGTTCTTCTGCATATGGAATCTAATACACTCTGATTTTTTTTAATCGCAGCATACATGGCACCAGGTTTGAGGCTGAAGTGTAGTTTTTAATATACACTACTTGTGAAACGTTTGGGGTCAGTAAGATAAACAAAAAAACACATTAAATATCTTATTGACTCTACACCTTAAGGGTTAGTTCACCCAAAAATTCATTATTTACTCACCCTCATGTCGTTCTAAACCCGTAAGACCTCCGTTTATCTTCGCAACACAAATTAAGATATTTTTAATGGAATCTGAGAACTGTCTGACCCTCCCATAGACAGCAAGGGTCCTTACATGATCAAGGTCCAGAAACGTAGCAAGGAGATTGGTAAAATAATCCATGTGACATCAGGGGTTCAACTGTAATTTTACAAAGCCAAGAGAATATTTTTGTGCGCAAAAGAAAAAAAAAAACGACTTTATTCAACAATTCAATAAATGCAGCACTGTTTTAAAAAATTTAAAAAAATGTGTATTTTTTGTCCTACTACTTTCCTATGTGTCCTTATACAGTTCATAAATTGACAGATTTATTCTGAATGCTTAACTGAATCATTCTGAATGCTGTTCTTCATCTCTTTTTTGTCTTTAGGAAAAATAGCAAAAGTGACAGGAGCAATAGTATTGGGGTAGGTTTATTATTATTTTTATTATTTTATTTGTATTTTTTGGCATTTATTTAACAAGCCATCAATAAAATTATATTATACAGTATCATGCAGCACATACACAGAGAATGTCAGTGGAAGCAGCCGTTAAAAGTGATGTATCTTCTAAGCCAGGTTTGTTACCCTTTCCAGAAACACATTCTGACTCTATCAAGTTTGCTTACACAGAGGCTGTGTTTTCATCACATACGAGGTGGTTACTCTGAACCAGGCCGTCACTATCGACACCAGTGCCATACTACAGGAGAAGCACAAGTCCTACATCTACCTGACTCACACCACTAATAGAGAACAGGAGAGCCTTGCTTCTGGTACATTCTGGAATCTTTACCATGTGTGTGTGTGTGTGTGTGTGTGTGTGTGTGTGTGTGCTTGAGAGAGTGTGCAAATATCGGTGAGCCAAAAGATTCATTTGCATTTACATTTACATTTATTCTTCGAAAGCAACTTGCAACTGAGGAATACTACACCATAAACGATTCATCCTTTCTTTTTCTTTCTTTTCTTTTTTTTTTTTTTGCAGGACCTTTGTATTTATGCCTTGTGTGTGTGTGTGTGTGTGTGTGTGTGTGTGTGTGCTTGAGAGAGTGTGCAAATATCGGTGAGCCAAAAGATTCATTTGCATTTACATTTACATTTATTCTTCGAAAGCAACTTGCAACTGAGGAATACTACACCATAAACGATTCATCCTTTCTTTTTCTTTCTTTTCTTTTTTTTTTTTTGCAGGACCTTTGTATTTATGCCTTAGATTATATTTTATTTTTTGCTAGTATATTGTAGATGTATTGTTTGAGATTTTGCTTAATTATACATTAAAACAGCCCATTCATGTATTTTTCATGTATTTTGATTCATGTATACAGTTAATGTATACAAATTTATTGATTGCCCACAACAGACTTTATTTCTTTTCTAGGCTTTACTATCAAGACCAGGAAGGAACTTCATAAAGCAGCTAGAAAGTTTCTTGAAATTTCATCAAGAGTTCTTCTTCTCCCATTGGATGGTGAGTAGTTTCATCTCTATTTGATGGCCTTGACAAGTCTAAACAGCATGGTTATATAGAGGACATGCTTAGAAAAAACACTTAGGGACAGTATGGTTATTGCATCTCAGGAAACATCTGCTTTCTGTTGA